TAGACTAAGACTGTGCGTCTATCACTCATCAGGCAAAGATAACTGAAAAATAGGAAAAGTGAGCAGGTACCAAACAAACAGGCTGAAGCACCAAGAAACAGAAAAAGTGAGCAGGTACGAAGCAAACAGGCTGGATCACAAATATCAGAGCCAAATTAAACACAAAAAATGAGCATGTACCAGTAGTACAAAACAAACAGGCTGAAGCAAAAAAAGAAAAAGAAAAAAACCAACAGGCTGAAGCACCAAAAAACAAAAACAAAAAAACAAAAATGAAAAAAAACCAAAGCACCAAAAATTAGATATCGGAGCCAGGTTTCGATCCTGGGACCTGTGGGTTATGGGCCCACCACGCTTCCGCTGCGCCACTCCGATCTACGTTAAGAGATGCGAAAATAGTTTATAAATATTATTAATTGTGAGAGGTACAGACAGGATTTGTAGAGCGGGTATCCTCTACACCGGCATGGACGAGCTCTGCACTCCACGGTCTGGGCACGGCCAGCCCACCGCAGACCCGAACATGGAACACGAACGAGTCGCGGACTCGCAGTAGCCTACTGGGAGCTTCGGCGAACACCATTGACGGTGAAGAGTAGCTCTCAGGCTCCGTTCGGTTTGCTGAATCTTGGCTGAAACTGGTTGAAAAACACTGTTCTGGCTGAATTGTTGTGAGAGAAAAATACTGTTTCGACTAAAAAAACAAGTCGAAAAAGATAAGCCGAACGGGAGATCACGAGCGTGCATCATGTCAGCTCGTGTTTGGCCGTTTGGGCCCTACAAGTGGTAGTGGCACGTACGTGCACCATGTCAGCTCGTGTTTGGCCGTTTGGGCAACCGCGCCCGGTCAGCGTCCCCAGCCACGTACCGACGCGCGGCCCCGCCGTGGCGCCGTCGACACGAGACGCGCAGGGTGGCAAGCCAGCTCAACGCGTGGCGCGCGCTTGATGTGCCGACGCGCGCGCCTGAACGGGACCAGTAGTTGCAAGGAAACGAGGTCACCCGCGCGCCCGCGCCCGACGCGAACAGCGTGCGGAGCAACGCCTGCTTGGGCTCCGGAGCCTCCGGCCGGCTCTGTTACCGAGCCGGCCGCTGTTCCCGCTCCGACCGTGCCTGCGTGTCTCGCTCTCACGTCGTGGGAGAACGAGCGTGGCGTGGTCGTACCAGGGGGCATCGCCGCACCCCGGCGAGCGCGCGACGCCTGCCTCCTGCTGTGCCGTCTCGGCGCGGGAGCTGGACGTACACGTCGCGCGTGTCGGCCACCACCCCGGGGGACACGGCTCGCACTCGGAGGCCTCTCGTTTCACCGAGAACGGAAACGCCAGGGAATCCTGGAGCTAGTGGGGAAGATGGGAGCGCGCGAGAGAGAGTGCGCGGGCGCCTTTTCCGGGGACACTCTTTCTACTTTCGTCAGTGGTATACTCCCGCGTGTACGCACGTCGCTGGCAGTGTCCCGGCATTTCCAACTCCCAGTGGCAGTACGTGGGGTAGGAAATATCTATGGCCCTCGTCAGACCATATACTCTAAATTAAAGTTTAGTTGATTAAAGTTAAAGACTAATTTTTAGACACTTTTAGCTTGTTTGTGTAGACTAATGAACTAATGATCTTTTTAAAGGTTGACTCAACTTTAGATACGATTTTAGACACAATGTTCAAAACCTCAAGAGCTAAAATTTAAATCATAGTATCCAAACAGAGCTCTTTACATCTTGAGTCATGTATTGCTGCATTTTCTTTTTGAAAAGCTACCAAAAGAACTTACAACACACGCGAGAAAATCAGGAGCAAGACTACATTGGGAGTAGGGGGACACAGCACCCTCTAAAATGTTAAACTAGCGATTTTATCTAATATTTTCACCATATACACTCTCTGTATAACATGTATATGCACCCACGGTATAAGAGCATCCTCTCTGATTTGGTCGAAGAAAATATGAGAACTAACAAAGTTTGTGCCCTTGTGGGAGCGGTGCTAGTTAGATTACAGTAAGAAACTGAGATACCTTGCAAAAAGGGTTACGTTCTTAAATGTTCCTAGATGAATTGATACCAGGTAAAGCAAATCCTCAACAAACTGCTTTTGATTGCTGTTGTGCTAGGTGGGAAAAAAAGGACTCACGAAAGTTTAGAGGGGGCAGCGAACTAAATAGATGTTAGTGTTCCACTAAGCTAAGAAGAATGATACATTGTCTCGAGCTGTTTTCTCGGTCAAGAATGTAATGGTCACAATAATAATATGGTGAAAAGCTAGTGATCACTAGCTAGAATATTTTGCATAAATTTCATGGGACCTATTAAGCATCCTAGAATATATGAGCACATACCTCCTAGAGGCCAAACTGGATTCGTGCCCCCTACCCCTTGTTTGTGAAGTTCTACTACTCACTTCTTGACATCTATACGACATGCACCATGCATGAACTATTTTCTTCCAAACAATATACCGGCTTTTGTCTCCTTGAAATTAGACTCCATCAATCCCATTCTTTAGTCTCTGTTACCTCTAGGTGCTTGCATTAGCAGTTGCTCTGTGTAAAGCTTTAGCTAGTGACCATTTTACACTGATGTTAGTGTAGCACTGAATTACCTCCCCCCATCCTTTAATTTCACCCCACCCTCCACCACTGCATACAATGGGTCTAATGTCTATTTTAAAGAATCCGTCTAAGATAGATGTTTACCATATTTTTCTTAACGTTAACTACACATGCTACCTTGAAGTCAAATTCATGCACACTTAAACCAGAGTAGTCAATTTGATACATGTTTTTATCTAAATACGTCCTTGGAACCAAAAGAAGCTTGTTTTCTTTATTGGCAAACCTTGATATCAAGCTATAGGATAGCTAAGATAGTGACAAAAGATTGAACTCAAATTGAGAGACACAACAAATAATAGAGGGCAAACACACAACAAGGAGGGGGGAGGCGGGGACGTGACATCTACCATATTCACAAAAAGGCTTGACTTAGTCTATTTAGGGTCCATGCAAGAATGTTAAGCATAATACGTTGTTTTCAGCATTAGGCTCATAAATTTCTTGCACTATAGCTTCCTTGATGTGTGATTCGTCACATCAAAGCCTTATTTTTAGTACTAATATTGTAATAGATAATTTAATGCCAATCTTTAATTTAAGTATTATGATCTTGATATAAGTTAAGCTTTACGGATTTATCAGATTTTGGGACAGTTTAATTAAAGTGAAATCCGGTCAACTCACACCAAAAACCCACGCTCTCCAACCTTACACAGAGCCGAAGGCCAAAAAAGGCCCCGGCCGCCCCAGATACCCAACTGAGCAGCTACCCATAGCCAGCCACACGTATAACCTGCCGTGACGCGGACACGTAAGCGTACCCCCCCCACGAGCGTCGTCCGCCGTCACATCAAGCCGCCACGCCGCGCACGCCCCGGCCCCCGGGCCCCATAGATCAGAGAGACTCGTCCGAGAGTTGCATGGGACGACGGGTCCGACGGACACGCAGATCCGTTTGCCGCCAGCGGGCAGCGGCCTGCACTGACTGCACTGCCCGGTTCTGCCGCCTCTGTCCGCGAGGCGAGGGGCGGTAAAAGGTGGGGCGTGGCGTGGGAGGCAGTCAGGCAGCAGACATTGCTGCGCGCGCCCCTGAGCAGAGCGAGTGCTTGCCATTACTGTTCGGTGCGTGGAGGTAGAGGGATAAGGAAGAAGGGGCTGGAAGGAAGGCAGGAGGGAGGGAGGGAGATGCTGGCTTCGTCTCCTATGGGGAGGGGATGAGGGAAGGGAAGGCCGATGGCAATGCCGCCGTTTCTTCCTCTTCGCGGTTAGTATCTCGTCAACAATGCGATTCGCCGTGTCCCATTTTGTTTTTCTTGGTGGATGGGGTGGGCTTCTTGATTGGGGAAATGCTGCGGCGGCGGTCTAATCGATCAGTTCGTCGGATGGTGGATTGATCCATCGGCGCTGCAGACAGCGGGGTGCTCGAAGGTTGCCGTTCTTTTTTTTTTTAAGAGAAGGAATGCTGGATAGAGTTCTTGCTGCATGTTGAAGTTGGTCCTTAGTGGATGTTCTGGACTCCACTGAGAGTGTTTTTTTGACCTTTGAAACACATTTTCAGTTTTTCACCATCCCGGTCCCGGTTCATTCTTTTGGTTCATTTCCCCTGTCACCCAGATAGCATTGCTTTCATTTTTTTTTATCATAGCATTGCTTTCATTGATATAATGCACCTCCGTTCCAGGTCATCGCGATTTCATTTCAGATAAAAATCACTGCTCCGCATTCAACGGATTTTGCGTTCAGTAAGGTCAGCTCAGAGTCTGCGTCTTTTTGGTAGCTTCAACGCTGTTGTCTTCACTCTTCAGTGTTTTATTTTGGTATCCTTGCGAGCAGAGCGATGCAGCTGCTACTTGCTATTCTGTGATTTCGGCTCCTGCAGTTTAGTAGCGGTTATGCATATTTCTTTTTTTCATCATGCTTCCATAGGCTGATAGATTTGGCACTGCTTCCTATTTCCGGAACCACAGCTCTTTCGGTTGCTCAGGCTTTTGTTTCCTGCAGTTATTTTATGAAACTTATTCCCTGCGTTTGTCGACTGATAAATTGGATACCGGATGTCTACTGATGTTGGCACAGAGCCATGGAATGTTGCATCACACAGTGATAGTGGCTCAATATGTTTTGGAGTATACATGCTTTGATTGAGCGCATTAATGTCTGCTTTAGCCATGTTGCAATTGTTTCGAATTGAATCTTGCAAATTTCTGTGGTATTTCCGGATTTCCTGACAGCCTTGTAAACTGATGTATGCTCAAATGTGTATTCTATCCAATGCAAATCTTATTGCTTTTCTAGATTTGGTTGTACCATGCTTGGTCACATCTTGCTTCTACTGTGCTTTAATTCGTCGTTTTTTACTGCCTTGCAGAATAGCTAGTACGCGTTCAAAGCAACCGGCTGGCTGTTGATCAATAAGAGCAAGATGGATGGGAAAGGCTTGTTCGTGGAGATAGGGATGAAGGAGGAGGACATTGCCGCAATGCTGTTTGGGAAGAAAGTTGTCGAGCTGGCAGAAGATGCATTTGATTGTTCCAAGGAAGAAAGACAGATCTTTGATGGTGTCTTCTGCCTAAAAAACATTGATGGATTAAATGATCATCATCATGAAGGCACTGGACATACTGTGGATGCAGGCAAAGTTGTGACAAGGTCTAGCAAACCATCAAGCTCTGCCCACAGTTACAAGACATCACACTGTCGCATAGTAGAGTCTTTCACTGCTGGCAACTTATCAAGCTATCGTGTCTCCTGTCTTGGTACCGATGATCAGGCTCACCGAACAATGCATTCTCCTGATGCTATCCATTTTGAGCTTGCGGTACAGTGTACTCCTCCCCCTGATCGGGTGTACACTCGTAGGGTGGTAAATCACATGAGCGAGAGGGCAACAATTTGCAGTGCAATGGATTTGGAGAGCATCGACATTTCCAATTTCAGTCGTCGGAGGGATGGTCGCGGCCATGGAGAGCTTTGGAACCATCTTCGTCTGCATGCACATCTTCTGATGGTGGATGCCGGGTGGAAGATTGAAGGCAAGGAAAGAGGCGGCAAGAGTAAGGTTAAGGTTGATCATGTGTATGTGGCACCAGACAATGTGATGACACGCCTGTTTTCTCTTCCCAGAGCATGGAAATACTTTGGCCAGTGGTTGCTTGTGACAACACCCGGCGTCAATGGAAATGAGTCAATTGACTATGGAAAGGAGTGGTCGAACATGCATGAATTTGTGTATGATTTGAAGAACACACTGCTATGCTTACAGTATGAGGTCCAACGTACGAAGCCAGCACTATCTTTCCTCTCCCAGTGGCAGCTCCTTGATCCTTTCATGGCTGTTGTTTGCATTGATAAGAAGGTTGCAGCTCTTAAAAATGGAGTGGCACTGAAAGCTGTTAACAGCACTGTGACTTTCCTCAATCGCAGTGAGTGTAAGCTGTTGAATGCCAAGAATTCAAGTAGGTCACTTGGGGTCAACCCCACAAGTAAATATACGAATCCATATCTCAGCTCCTGCAAAAAAAGTCTTCTGCCGCTTCTCTCTGAATCTGATTATCAGCCTGATAAGGAAGGGAATCCTATGCCTAATGAACCTAATGAAGAAGCTTCTCTATTTTGTATAAACAAGACTAGTGAAGATGAAGCTGATCGAAGGTCATTGTCAGAAATGAATGAAAGAGGCATAAAAAGCACAGCTCATCGCATAGTTATGGGTCTCCATGATGCAACAGCTTTTCATGGCTCAAGGCAAACTTGTTCGGGCAGGAAAAGGAAATTTCCGTGCATCAAGTCTAAAGAGGATCATCAAGCTGAAGACAAGTCTGACCCATTATACTTTCCACTCAGCTGTTCATCCACATTAAGTCATCTGGTTGATAATGTTCAAATAAATGATGTTAGCTCTCATGGCTATGAAACCACAGAAATTCCAGACATGGGCAATTGTACTGATATTCTTGATGAGATGTACCTAGGAGAGAATTTACTGTTTGCCCCCGAGATTGATAATATGCTACATGGAACTACAGATGATATCAACAATGAACAGAATGATGATGCAGCTGTCTCTGAGCCCCAATCAGCAGATAATGATGGGAGTGGACCTTCTGGTGCATCATCGCTACCACCAGAGAAAGATGCATACATGGGAGCTAAAAAGGACTGTATTAACGGCTATCATGATCCTCCAGTTGTCTCTGAGTTGCAAATGGCTAATAAGGATGCAGAATGTGAACCTTCTGGCGCATTCTCGCTACTATCAGAAAAGGGTAAAGATTTGGAAGCTAATAAAACGAGCTTGGAAGATCCAGCAAAAACAGGCCAATTATCATCTGAAGCTAGTGGCAGCACTTTGATGATCTCAGAGCCACAAGTATTGTTTGTGTCCCCACAAGATGGGACTCTGTCTTTCATGAACAATAATATGAACAACCAAGAGATGTTGAGCTTCCTGAATGCTTCCCCTGACACCATGGATACCGAAATGCAGCTGGACTCTAATTCATTGGTTTATGAGGCAAGCTTGATCCAGGGTTTCTTGTACCTTGACAATGAGGGTTCTCCAATTTGTTGGACAGTAATGAACCCTGAACCTCCTAGGCGCTTGATATGTGCTACTGCTCCGGAACCAAACTCGAAGCTGTCGAAACAGTATGTTGAAATGAGGTTGGAGAATGATGCATCAACGTCTGAACATAAGAAGGGGAAAAAATGGCCCGATAAGGCTGCAGATATCCAAGACAGTGTCAGACATCCTTTGAATCTAGTGCTTGCAAACAAAAATGACAAGGACCAAGGTGAGCAAAGCAGTGAACCTTCAGAACAACTCATGTCCAAAGAACCACACAAAAGGGACATCAAAAGGCAAAAGAGAACATGGTCTCGCACATGCAAGTTTGATGATGATGATCTTCTGATGACAGCTGTAATATATAAGCTGACAGCACGTTACAGGAACTCTTTTCATCGGAAGCTCAGAAATAAATTCGGTTTCAAGCGTCTTCCAAGATATCGCTGGGAGAATGAAGATAAAGGTGACAGGAAGAAGTTTCCTGGAGGAGCAAGGACGGTGCTGAACAAGTTACTTGAAATGGGCATTGTTGCTAGAGTGAACATTCTTCAATGTCGAGGTCCAGGAGGCAAAAATGTGTTAAAGGATGGGAACATAACTACGAGTGGCATTCGATGCCGATGCTGTGGCACCACATTCACAATGTCCAAGTTTAAGTGTCATGCTGGTCTCAGGCAAGAAGTCCCATCTCTGAATCTTTTCTTGGGTACAGGCAAATCATACAGTCTTTGTCAGCTTCAAGCATGGTCTATAGAGCAGAAGGTGAGGAAAGAGCGTGCAAAAGATACAATGTCCCTTCAAGCAGATCAAAACGATGATACCTGTGGATCATGTGGCGATGGTGGTGAACTGATATGCTGTGACAATTGTCCTGCTAGTTACCATCAAGCCTGCTTGCCTTGTCAGGTTTGTTATCCTGATGTCATTAGATTTATCTGGACATTTTGTTTGGGCAACCAAACTAATTAACTAATGACTCTTCTCTGCCTATTCATTACTACTAATGAGTATGCTGAAAAGAACTATGTTTATTCTTGATCCATGCCTGCTGTTGAAATGATGCTTCACAAATTGCTATTCTGCTGTTGTAATTTAACAAACAAAAGGGTGTCATGTCAGTATGTCACAACTCCATACTTGTTTGACCCATGTTTGCTTACAATGCTTCAAGTAAAATCATGGAAAAAAATTCACTTTTGTTCTACCATGACTCTGAATTACATTGATTGGATCAATAATGTACTCCAGTTCTATCCTAAAAACAACAGTGTCACTGTAGCATTCTGATGTTCTTCATCCCCAGCAGCATCACAGAACACCTGATTTAGCACTTACATATTGGAGTTCATTTTACTGATATAATTTTCTATTTAACTTCCCATAATTCTACCCTAACAACCTTACTTCAGATTGTCTACCATAGAGTCTTTAACAGCGGTAAGATGCAAGGTTCCCATAATTATTACTACTGAATTGTTCCACTGTATTGTAATTTCTCCTTCAGGATATTCCAGATGGCAACTGGTACTGCTCTAGCTGCCTTTGTGGCATTTGTGGGGAAGTAATCAATTCAAAGGAGCTCAGAACTTCCCTTCCTGCTTTAGAATGCTCACAGTGCGAACGGCAATGTAATGTCACTTGTCATACTATGCATTTTTGTTGCCATATAAAATATCTCTCTTGTCACTTGTCAGTATGATTGTTCTCAGACATATATGATTTATCATTATGCGATACCCATTTATGATTATTTATTATATAATAGCACATTGTTCATGGAATGTTAAGCCAGAACATCAACACACACACACACACACACACACACACACGGGCAGGGCAGACTGCTTTTTAACCAAGCCTAGAGCAAGATTTTAATGACTTAAAGTTGTTGGTTAATTAATTACTGTATGAAACTAAATACATACTATATTTTTGGTTACTTATTCAATAACCAATTTATTTCCTCCAGACCATGTAAAATGCGTATCTGCTAAAGTTCCGTGCAATGAGGATGGACCTGGTACCTGGTTTTGTGGAAGAAAATGCCAGCAGGTATGTTTCAGAAGAACTTGACCTGTCCTTTAACTATCACGAGTTTTTTTCTTGAACACACAGGAGAGATGCACATCATTGCATTAAGGAGAGTTTTTTTTTCTTAACTATCATGTAAATGCATGGCAGAATGTCTATTCGAGTGAGACTGATCTTGTTCTGCTACTGTCAGATTTATACGATCTTTCGTTCTCGTGTTGGAGTGCCTGATCACGTGGATGATGGTCTGTCTTGCACCATTCTTCGTAACAATGGTGATAAAAAGGTTCGTACAGCAGAGGAGATTGCTCTCATGGCTGAATGCAACATGAAACTTATGATTGCCTTGAGTATTATGGAAGAATGTTTCCTGCCTATTCTAGATCCCAGGACAGGGATAGACATTATTCCCTCTATATTATATAACTGGAGGTGAGATGACCTTTCTTTTTCCTCTTGTGAATCAATATGTACTTGTCTCTCTATAATGCAATGATACACAGATCTCCTGCATACTGCATATTCGAGAAAAAAAATATGTACTTGTGGCATGCATAGTTGCTTACTGCAAGTTGCTTGTTTTTTTTAACTTTGGCCATCTGAAACCTAACACCTGCTATATTCCTTTGCTAGGTCTGATTTCATACATTTCAATCACAAGGGGTTCTATACTGTAGTTTTGGAAAATGATGACAGCATGGTATCTGTTGCCTCCATAAGGTACCTTGTGAAAAAAGAAGTCTGACATTTTTCTGACTTGTTCATGAGTACAAAGTAGGAGTAATATATACTACAGGAAGTGAACAACTGGGCTTAACATAGATGTCGCTGCAGGTTGCATGGTGCAATTGTAGCAGAGATGCCTCTAGTGGCAACCTTCACAGAGAATCGTCAGCAGGGGATGTGCAGGCTCCTCATGGATTACATTGAAGAGGTATGGACATAAGTACAGTAGGAGAAACTAATATCTTACTTTGTCTATATATATATATATATATATATGTGAATCCCTTCATAATTGTTGTGCAAAATTATCTATCAAATTGGCATACTTCCAACATGTGTCCTTCTTAATTACCCTAGTGTTTGCCTATATGTTCATGTGTCTAGCATCTACCTCTTCCATCCATCGATGTAAGGTGTATTTTAGACCGAGAAAATCTTCAAAAGTAGATTTTGACCATTGATTTGTCTTACATTATATTGTTGATCGCAACAAAATCAACACCATCTTAAAAGTATTTTGAATACTAATCTATTGATGCAACTTTTGTACACGGAGCATGCATGTAATTTAACTAATTGTTGGTCAAGATTTGTAATGATTGATTTTTTGTTTTCAAAAACAAAATATGCCTAATTTGATGGACAAAGGGAGTACCGATTCTTGTGTTCATCTTCAATGTGTATGAAGTAGTAGTTACATTGGTACTCTAAAACTTACATCTGGACACTTATCTTTTCGTACAGATGCTGAAATCTCTGAATGTGGAGATGCTACTCCTATCAGCAATTCCGCACCTAGTGGAGACATGGACATCAACATTTGGGTTCAGAGAGATAGACGATGAAGACAAGAAGAGGCTAAGTAAGGTGAGGCTGGCCGCAGTTCCGGGGACTGTCCTACTGAAGAAGAACCTGTGTGAATGTTCAGACATGGACACCGGTGAGCCGCCGAACCCTAAACCCTTCAAAGTTTACTCTCGCATGCCGAGAAACCGCACCGGTTTGAATATAGTGTGCCAATAAAGATGACGCAGTGGGTTGCATGCGCCGCCGGGGTCAGTCGTCGTCGCCGGTGACAACAGCAGCTTATGATCGTCGTCACTGGGCGCCGTCTCCTGTTGCTGTTGCTGAAGACGGAGCCGAGGCCGAGGCCGAGCATCAGCACGGGCCGTCTGAGGTTTCTGCGTCGGTTTGCGCGGTGGAAATGGAAAGCCTCGTTGCTCTAGTAGGAGCTCTGAAGATCGCTTCACCCTGTGCCTGTGCAGCTGTGAACCGGTCTGCTTGTAGTCTTCTTGGCGAATGTAAGTGTGACTGAGTAGCAGTCTGTAAATAGCTTCTCCGTTGGCGAGAAGCCCACGGTCCACGGATGCCGCTGACCACGGCCATTGTGGAACAACCGAACCTTGTGCCCAGTGTTTCTGTTGCCCACTGAACTGAAGTTTCAGGCTAGTCCGTTGTGTTCGTTTCAGAAGCCTACAATTTTCAGGGGAAGGGGAGGACGGTACGTGCTGACTGGGCGCAGTATGTACTGCTGTTGTAGGCACGCACGAGTTGACGAAGCTATACGAGCAGCTCGTGGTGAGAACGGAGGAAGATGAGCTTATTTGCGAGCCATTTGAATGAGATGCAGTACCACTAGTAATTTATGCGGCCAGTCCGGCACTCCCGTTGTCAATGCCAAAAGCCCAAAAGTCAACTGTTGCGCGTATGGACCTGCAGGTTCAGCGGTGCAGCATCGGATCGCGATCGCCGAGCGAGACGCCTCTTGCTGCGTCGTTCACGGCTTCACGCGTACCGGGGCGCATGGCCCCGTCCGTCCATGCCGTGCAGCGCCAACGCGCGCCGAGCCTTCATCCTCTGTACGGCGCGCGCGACACCAACTCCCTGCGGCGGCAAGCTCGATGTACTCAGCTCTGGCCTCTGGTGTGCGGCCGGCGCGCGTCCGCCACATGCCGCCGGCAGTAACGCTGAGCTGAGTAGGCGCTGGCGCGCACGGCACGGTTGGAACGGCAATGGCCGTGGCCCCAATGCAGTAGGATTTTTTTTAAGGGAACGACCGGAGCAGTGCTCGGACGTTTGGGCGTACGCTCGTGGCTGCTCTATTTTCTGTGCGTAGGAGTGGAGGGGACGGACCTCAGCTTGCTGCGGGGCCACCACGCGGGCATCACGCCGCTGTTGGTCCACCCGAGGCCACCACCTCCGCGGGCGCCCATGCGCTAGTCGGGTATGGTTTCCCCGCCGAGCTCGAACTGCCGCGACAAGGAGACAGAGGGAAGGAAAGGGAAGGGAAGGGAGGGGAGGGAGAGGAGAGGGAGAGGCACGTCGCACGAGGAAGGCCGTTGTACCGCCAGCCACTAGCCATTGCGGCGTGTGCAACAGCAGAGTAAAAAAAATGTGCAACACCAAATCTACTTTTAAAATATCCAGATAAAACATTTGCAACATACGTGTGAAACAGATGAGGCACTTGAAACATGCGCTTGAAATAGGCATGTATAGCCATTGCAGCACCAAGATCTACTTTTAAAATATCTAGATGAAACATTTGCAACATATATCTGAAACACTTGAAACATATACTTGCAACTATCTCATTGCAACGTATGCAAAATTCTAGATCTACTTTTACAACATCCAGATAAAACACTTGAAACATAAGTCTGAAACGTCTGAAATATTTAAAACACAACGTTCGGCGCGTGGCTACGACCTACCTGGTGGGGACTGGAGTGGCAATGACGGAGAAGGAGGAGGCCGAGGAGGGCCGCCGCCTAGAGGGGCCCGCGAGGAGCACCATCTCCTAGGCTGCGCCCTAGCCCCACCCGCGTGCGCTGCTCCAGCACATACCCCATCAGAGCCGACCGCCCGGGCAGCAACGGTGTTGGGACGCACGCAGCGGTGCCTGTGTGGGTTGGGGGTGGGGTGAGGGAGGAGATGGGGCGCGCAACACGGGATGAGGGAGCTAAGCGTCGTGGGTGGGGGCGCGTGTCACAGGCTGGAGCGAGCGACGGGTGAAGGCAGCAGCAGTGAGTGCAGAGTGGGGCACGGTGTTCGGCCAGACGGACACCCGCGTCAGAGCATTAGCGTTTAGGGAACTGCTGGCTCTCGGACGTCCGATCGAATACCGATACGTCAGACGGTACCATGGCCTAGGGCGATTTGTTTCCCGTGCGCTCGCCTGCACTCCGCTCCCGTGCCAGCACACCCCCGTCCGCTCCTGCTTTTCGCGCACCCACACAGGGGGGCGCTTCCCACGAGCATTCCGTGTATAACACCCGATCTACTTTTGAAACATCTAGATACAATACTTGCAACATACGTCTGAAGACAGATGAAACACTTGGAACATGCGTCTGAAACACTTGCAAAAAACATTTGAAACCCATTGCTAACAACATCCAGATAAAACACATGCAACATATATGTGAAACATATGCAACATCCAGATAAACATATTTGCAACATACATATGAAAAAACAGATGAAACATTGAGGACAAATTCTTGCAACATACATGTACAACCATTGCAACATATACAATATCCTGATCTACTTTTACAACATCTGAATGAAACATTGGCAACATACCACTAAATCATGTGAAACATTTGAAATGTACACTTGCAACATGCATCGTATCTCGATGCGGTCTCCTCCGCCGTCTGCATCGGGGCGATGCAACCATAACAGGTGGCAAGGCCGGAGGGCTTCCGCGCTAGGGCCTAACGCTTCTCGCGATGGCGGTGCCTGTTGATGTCATCGGGCGGCGGAGCAAGAGCAGCGGGGCGCGCACGCGGAGTAGGAGCAAGAGCAGGAGCTGCGGCAGGAGCAGCGGGGCAAGCGGTGGAGCAAGAGCATGAGTAGCGGGGCGGGCACGTGGAGCGGGAGCAGCAGGAGGAGCAGCGGGGCGGCCGACGGAGCAGGAGTAGGAGCAGGCGGGGCAGACGGTAGGAGCATCGGAAGGGACGTACGGGAGAGGTCTATTGGGCTGGTCCACAGGCCTAGGAAGATACGTCCGGACAGCACCGACGCCCTGCATACATTATTTCTGTTTTAATACCCCTATAGACATTGCAATTTATAGCATATTAAGGTATTAGTTCACCTATTTTATATCATAATATTGTGTTTTTATAGATATTAACTACATATATATAAAAACATACACTTACGTACATATTTATCACACTTAGAGGTGCCATAATATTTATTTGGCTCCTTTTAATCAAAGCTACTGGTTTCGCCGCTGGCAGCATGCGGTTGTTGCAGGCTGCACGCTGTAGAAGCCGGGTTTGGGCGGGTGGCACCTTGGTGGGCGATGGAGTTTACGGCTGCGCGGCTTTGTCACGTGAATGTGCCAGTGAGGTCCAAATGAAAAGCCGCGTGAATGCGCCAGTGAGGTCCAAATCGTACTACTGCGTAGAATCAGTTTTAGGCGAACGAGTGAACGACTATGACAAGCCAGCTATGGCCCCGTTCGCTTCGCTGAAAAAACAAGCCGAAACACTGTTCCGGCTGATTTGTTGTGAGAGAAAAAAATACTATTCCGGCTGAAAAAACAAACTGAAAAGTACGGATTATAAGAGAAGCGAACCGTGCCTATATATTTCAAGGGCTAGGATAGGATATGGACGTGATGGCCAGGACATGGATGATCCTGAACTGCTGGTATAGCAGAACCGACCAATTTATAAGAGCACAGTACAATGGCAGCCTGTAAGCGGTCGCAGTGTCATACTTGAGTCCATATAAACCCGGTAGTCCATTGACTACCATGACGGGTCTCGATTAACCATCAACATACAACCAAGATTGTACATGATTCAACATACATGTCACATGTTACATAAAGTTTACAAATACAGTTCATTCATTAGAGTACGAATTAAGGTTATTACAAACCAAGTTCAGTAAATAGTAGCGGAAGCAAATTAAAGTTTGAGACTAACACCTGCCATCATAGTTCAAATACATAGTGCCGGTTCGTGATCAAACTCTCACAAAAGCATATAAGAAGGATTAATAAGAGATGCATGCCCAGACTCACTCCTCATCCACAGCGGGACAAAAGCAGTTCTTGTAATAGCCGTGATAAACTATACCATCTGCAATAATGGGAATAAAACCCTGAGTACAAGAAGGTCCCCAGCTAGACTTACCCATCGTAAACCAAAAATAATGTGACTCCAAGTATTATGCAAGGCTTTATAAGTGAAGGTAGCTTGACAACATTTTGCACAAAAAGCGACTAACTCAATTGTACAATTATAATTCGGTTATCAAGTTAATTATAGCTATTCATCTCTAGATTAGCGACAAACCTGTGCCAAACATATAGTATATAATTTAGTAGCATATAATAGTAACCATAGCCGGTGTAGTAATTCCATGTTCATCCGAACCATCACATTCCATAACATAATTACTATGACATTGGGGCTAGCCAAGTTTCTCACTGTCCGGGAGATACGACGATTCGAATCAGTTTCAACCAGCTGAGAATTTATTCTTAACACAAACTCAGGCAGACCAGATCAACGGTCACTTTAGGTCATCTTTGGTACAACTCAGGTACACATTTCGTGGGTTCGCCCAATGCCGCACAATCAAGGGCAACCAGCTGCTAAGACGATCAGGACTACCCTGCCTTTGGGCTCATGGCTGGCTCCCCGCATATCCTTACTACCATCCATAGTGCGCACTCTAACAGAGTGGGGCTCAGCCTGAGTTGAGCTACTCAGCTTCGCAGTTGGAACGAGTTATCTGGCCAGCTAAGTGAGAGGCATGCGTTCAATCTTGTCAGAAGTGCCAACAACGGTACGGTCCTTAATCGGCGCAGACGGGATCATATGAGTCCACCTACACATAGACTCCGCCCGGCCTCCATTTTTATTACCTCATGGTTCTTTTCCACGATAGCAAATATAGCCAACCGTGCTTCGGTATCCACCTATATCTTATAGGTGACAGGAAATCACCCGACTTCTACCGGTCTAAGCATGGCTAAGCATATATTCGATTCTGGACCTACACAGGATTAAAGGTATATGTAACTGGACAAGGTAGTTCTATGCATCAAGTGTTTTCAATCAACTCTTATAACCTAATGTATCAAACATAAATGACTCAAGTAATATTTTGTAAAACATAGGAGACTTAGAATACTCCGGGGCTTGCCTTTGAGGAAAGAGGTTGGCCGGTGATCTGGGCACTCAGGGAGATCTTCGAGAGTCTGCTCCTCTTCTTCTAGAGCTACGGCCTAAGACGTCTC